GTGTGTGTGTGTGTGTGTGTGTGTGTGTGTACAAGTGTGTGTGTGTCCGCGCTTGTGTGAGTTGGTGTGTTGATTTTGCACTCTAGATGTTTGAGTTTCAGCCCTTCATTGCTGTGCAATTATTTTTCTGTGTTGTGGGGGATTTGTAGATTGTACACACAAAAATGTTCTGTATTTTTATTTTTTTTTTTCCCCATTTCCCATTAATTTCCTATGGTCGGTCATTTTTGACCGAAGGCCATGAGTGTGACTATTTTTTTTACGCCCACTTAGCCTGTTGGAATCATGCCAATTGATTGAGGATGCCAATCATCCTCAATTTTTTTCTGTGTTCACATTCCAAGTGCCATAAAAGTCACCAAGTTTCATATCATTCCAATGAAGCTGTGATTTAAAAAAATTTAAAATGTAAAATTCTCCGGTCAAAAGTGACTGAAGACTGCACAAAAATACCCTGCAACTGTACTTTTGGTATACTAAACTGGTATACTTAAAGTCTGCTAAATTGGAACAACTAATTTTGTACTTAATGCACTTTAATTGTGTGGAAGTAGTGCTGAGGTCCAATTAAAGATATACTGAATGATTGTGTTAAAGTGGAACTACTGCAAGTATACTTTGGGTGCACTTTAATTATCTTGCATTTACAGACTGAAATTATACCTACGAGATATGTCATAGTGATTCTTTTCTATTTTGAAAGACATAAAACTATTTCTTTTTTATTTCTTTTTTTCCATAGACAAAATTAGGAAAAGGCCGCGTGTGTGGGGAAAATTTGTCAAGGTTTCATCTGTAACTGTCATTCAAATGGAGTATTATAGAGTCCCAAAGAAATATGGTGCTCAGATTCCACTCCAGACTGAAGTAAGAGATAAACTCTCAAGTCTTGATGTTGTTTGGGGAAATATGTTTGAAGGTGAGGATATTGATCCTCAGCTCGTCTTGGAGAAGGAAGCAGAGTTCTACAGAGGAGCCCCACCACAATGGATGAACTTCTACTGTGCTGAGAAAAACCATACACCTTTTGTTAAGAGGGACATATACACAAAAATAACAGAGCTTATACAAAAGAAAAGAGAAATAAACGATAGCATTTCCAGCATTAATCTCTTTCATCAACCAGGCAGTGGAGGTACTACACTGGCAATGCAAGTTCTCTGGGACTTGAGGAAAAAGCTCAGATGTGCACAAGTAATTGATTCAATATCAGATTCAAAAGCAATTGCGCAACAAGTAATACATCTGTTTAATGCGGGGGATTCACAAAACCAGAACACAGTCCTACTATTTGTGGACAACAAAGAGACAGAAGAAAATGATTACATGCAATTTAACTCCGTGCAAGAAAATTTGATTCAAAATATAAAACAAAGCAACATCAGCGCAAACACTCCTGTGGTCATCATTTTGAATTGCCTTCGAAAAAAGAACAAAACAGGAAAGGAGGAACTAATGTTGTGTACAAGTCTTTCGAAAGAAGAGCAGGACAATTTTAATGCCAAGCATACAGAGGTTGCTCGGGGACATGACAGACACAAGGAATTTCATGGCTTTAACATAATGCAGAGGAATTTCAGCCAAACTTACATTACAGAGGCCTGCGCAAATCTCAAACCTTTAAAGACAAAAAAGAGACCTCGCAACGCTCAAATACTGTCTTTTTTGGCTTTGATTAACTCATATGCCCCAGGCTCATACCTTACTGAGACTTTGTGCCTAGAGTTCTTGGATAAGAAAAATCAAATTTCTGGCCATCCCACTTTGGAAAAACAAATGGGGGCCTTTGCTGATCTTCTGGTCATATATTCAACATGTGCTGGAGGGGCCAAATCTAAGGACAGATGTATACGAACGGCACATCCAATGATCGCTGATGAGTGTCTATCGCTACTAACTGATGCTGGTGTAACCTTGAGTGATACAGCTACAAAACTCCTCTCAACCTTGTGCCCTCAAACAGTCCAACCTTACTTGGTGAAAATAATTAAACAACTGCTAAAAAAGCGAGAAACGGGTCTGCCGAAAGATGGGAAAGAAGAAAAACGTAACTTCTCCAAACTTATCCAAGATATTAAGGAGAAAGAAAACGAATCAATGTGTGTGGGACTGTTCAGACATGCAGCTAAGAAGTTTCCACAGGATCCATTTATTCCACAAGCTCTTGCACGTTTTTACTACATTGAACTAAGTGATTATGAAAGAGCTGCATTCTGGGCAAAAACTGCTATTCAGAAGGAACCAAATAATTCTTTTATCAGAGACACACTTGGACAAGTCTACAAAAACCAACTGAAGAACCGAAACCTTGCAAAACCTTCTAAAAACATTTTACAGATTGCAAAGCAAGCATTCAAAGCTTTTGAAGAAGAGGCAGAGACTGCAGAAAGGGAACTAGAACCAGGGATGAGAGAGGACGGTGTGACTAAAATCTCTACTGTTTTTAATTACAGAGGGCTTTTTGGCTACATACAGGTAGCAAATACTATTTTCTACAGGCTAACATACGTTAACCCAGAATGGTCCAAAGTGCTCAGACAGGAAACAAACTCTCACAGTTTAATCCACTCTGAAAAGTGTGGAAAACACCAATCTCTCCTCTCAAGCTTAAGGCACAGGATTGAGGATAAATGCAAGTTTTTTGAGACCTTTCTAATATACTCAAATAAAAATGATCCACGGTACACTTGGACAGACACCGAGGACTGCTATAAAACATATATAAGAGAAGAGGAACACTTTTGCAGGTCTTTTGCAGGTCTGCTTTCCACTTTAAGCCATATCACAAGTGTTTCTGACCTGGAGCAAATCACGGAACAATGGAGAGAGATTCATATGAATTCTCCAACTGAGAGTGATGCTCAAAACTACATTCTTGCCAACATCATCTTGAGTCAGAAGTCTGCAAACTCTGAAATACTCAGAACAGTGCCAGAGCTCCAGGACATATTACAGAAACTTTGGGAGAGACCGAACAAAAACAGAAGCCCAGAGTTTTACCTCTTGGTCCTTTTGCTGTTTTGGCCTGATGGTGCAAAGAAAACAGGCAACACACTAGACCTTAAAGTGTGTGTCCAATACATGCGTGAGTCATATGAGAGAACCTATCAGAAATACCTTCGCTTTCGCTACCTTGTTCCTCTCTTCTTCCTTGGGAACGGTGGAGGTTTGCAGAGACTGGTTCACCAGATCAAGTTCACCAGTCTCCTCGCTGACGAGCATGAGACTCCTGGAATGGAAGGTCTTCAGCGTATTGAAGGGGAGATCAGAAATCATAAGGTGTTTGCTTTGAGAGGTAGAGACCAAATTGAAGTTTCACCTCACAATCCGGCCAGTGTGTACAATACAGACCTGGTCTCCTTCTACCTTGGCTTTACCATCAGAGGACCTGTTGCCTACAACATCAGATATGTTAAGAAATGTAAGTTGTTATATTCATAGAACCTTTTTAAAGTTTTAGTTATTGAAGGCTGTGTTTACCTCTCTCTCCCTCACACACACACACACACACACACACACACACAGAGCATCAGTTTGTGTCTAAAGTAAAATATTTGATTATCTTTTTCTTACAGCTGCTCAGTTTGTGGACAAACACAATAAGCATATCCTTCAGCGTGTCGAGAAGGTGGATTGACCTTTGAGAAGATGACCTCCGTCCACTGATTGGTACTGAGCAATACTCAACCATCATAGCAGCTTCAACAAACAATGAAAAAATGGAAAAACTATACTCTATTCTGTCAGCAGGATATGAAATAAAGGACTAATTTTACCAGAACCTTTTAAAGAATGAGCGAGACCTTATTCAAGATTTGATTAACTTTGGGAAGAAGAGTTCCAGTTAGTTGTACAGTGTGTTGTAATGTACAAATAGATACACTTCAAACAGTGCTGCACTGTGCTCAACAAATATTTGACATTAATTCTAAATACTTTAGATACTTAGTCCTAACAGACTTTAAGATCATAACCATCAGTGTATTCTTTGTCTGGCATGGACTGATAATACTTTGAAAGTTTAAAAGTCAAAGTTATAAGCACAGGTTTCAGGTATGATACATGGGTTAATGGAACTCTTTAATATTTTTTTATAATGCTCTTTTGTAATGATTTGTTGAGTGTTTTCGTTTCTAATTATATGTAGCAGCGGTTCATTTTTTTTAAAAACAATTTTCAGGAATTGTATAAATTCATCAATTAATACTTTTCACATAGTCATTTGGTGTAGTAAGACTGCATTTATTCCAATAAAAGCAATGATCCAGAAACTCCGTTTTCATGGCCATATTTTAAAACAACAACAATAAGCCATTTAGAGTAAAAACATAACATGAGCAAACATATTGAAAATCATATTGAAAGTTGAAAGGAGAAAACCACTGCTCTTCAAAAACAACACTGCTGCCCATCTGCAGCTTGCTAAAGATCATGTGGACTATTGTAGAAATGTGGTTTGGTTTAAATTAGAAGCGTTATGTTTGGAGAAAGAAAAAACACTACATTCCAGCACTAGAACCTATGAAACATGGTGGTGCTGGTAGTGTGGTGATTTGGGCCTCTTTTGCTGCATCTGGGCCAGGACGGCATGCCATTATTGATGGAATAATTAATTCTGAATTATACCATCAATTTCTAAAGGGAAATGTCAAGACATCAGTCCGAGAACCGAGTCTCAAGAGATAGTGGGTCATGCAGCAAGACAACGACACAAGCACACAAGTCATTTTACCAAAGAATGGTTAAAGAAGAATAAAGTTAATGTTTTGGAATGGCCAAGTCAAAGTCCAGACCTTAAAACTGTTAGAGAAGCAGAGTGTAATCACCTATTGGGTGCAGGAAAATGGGCAGCACCAATCGTGTGTATACCAAAAACAAATGGAGAAGTGTTCATTTGTGGTGATTACAAGGTCACTATCAACCCGTGGTTAGCCATTGACAAATATCCCTTGCCAAAACCTCAAGATTTGTTTGCTTCTTTGGTTGGAGGTAAATACTTTACCAAGCTAGACTTAACTCAGGCGTACCAGCAGGTGGAGTTAGACCCGCAATCTAAGCCATATCTGACAATTAACACTCCAAAACTTGGCGACTTTTTAAATCTTTAGGGACCCCTACGGTTGGGAATCACTGCTCTAGGGTACAAATATGCACTCTTTAGTTATAAAGAAGGTACAAATGTATCTCTTTGAAGACAGCGTGCAGCGACAATATGTTGTACCCCTAAAGCAGGGGTCTCAAACTGCCGGCCCGCGGGCCATTTACGGCCCCCCCTCCCCCTCCACCCGGCCCGCAACTGATGTCAAAAATAAAACATAATCCGGCCCGCTAAATTATTATTATTATTATTACTATTATTATTATTAT